GATTAAGGTAACATGGAATTTTTAAGAAAAGAAAAGTGAGCGGCGAAATTACAAAGGGACAGGGGGAAAGAAAGAAAATATTTTTGACAGCTAAGTGGGGCTTCAAATTGGAAAAGGAAGAAGCTGGAACTAAAGATTTAACTAAATTGGACTAAAATATTTTGGGAATAAAGAGACATAAAATAAAGCTGGACTTAAGATTGTCAATAAATAATAATAATAAAGTTTACAAATTGGAGACTGGACTGTGCTGGAATATTGAAAAACCCCAGTATCGAAAAACCCCAAATAAAAAAATAGGGGGAAAAGGTGAAGACTTTGTATAATGGAGAGTGCCTCCTTTTGACAAAAACCTGAGCTCAAACAAAAGGGAAAGTATCCTGTTTCTGAATGAACTTGTGTGGATATAAAATTAAAGAAATATTGAAACAAAGTAAGAATCTTAGAAAGTGAAAGCAGAACCAGAATAAAGAAAAAAGCAAGGAAAGACTGACTGTGGGATTGATTGATGTTTTTGGTACAGACCCTGGGCTGGAATAACTGAGAACTTTAGAAAATTGAAAGAAGAAAGAAGGAAAGTAAAAGTGATTTTTTTTGTGGACTTTAACAGTCATATAATATAAGAGTGTGTAATGTTGATATCTCTTCGGGAATTAAAAATGGAACTTAAAAATATGAGAGAATTACTACAGGAAAGAGGAGAATCACTTTGCTCTGTGTTAGAAAAAATGGAAATGGCGATTAAAGAACAAGAAGAAAGAGCTTCAGAGGACAAGGAGTTGATTCAAGGAGAAGACATTTTAAATAGACAATTAACACAAAGAACACTACAAAGAAGTGGGAAAAGAATGAAGGTTAAAAAGTTGAAATTTAAGGAGGCAATCAAAAGGGGGAATACCTGTGAAGTCGGGAAAGGCAGAAAGACCCAGCAGAAAAGGGGAAAGGAAGATATTAAGAAAGAGGGATATAAACTGGAATGAGAACAGATATGGGGAAAAGAGGGGGAGGAGAAGCAGTAAGAAACAGGTGCATAAAATAAAGAAATACGGAAACAGTAAAATGTTGAAAAGAATTTGTTTTTTCAGAGATAATGGTTGATGAATTAAAAAGGGGATTCTGCAGGGTGACAAGGGGTAATAATATTTCTGCAATTAAAAATATTTAGAAAATAGGGTAATATAGATACTGATAACTCTTATTAAAAATTAAGGGGGGAAAATACGCTGTGGAATCTAAATGAAAAGATGTAATGATTATTATTGTAACTCCTTAAAAATAATGGTTTATTGGGAATCAAGATGAGGGAATAAAGGTATATTTTAATCATTGAGGTGTCACACTCAAAACAGTAAAAGGGGGGAAACCTATACTTGTTTTGTTTTGTTTTTTTCCGCGGGTATTTATATGTATGGTATTCAGCTTTGTTCGGGTATTTTCCCACACAACTATAATGACGTGGGAAAATACCCAAACAAAGCTGAATACCATACATACATACGTACATGTATCTGTGTGTGTGTGTGTGTGTGTGTGTATAAAACAATAGTAAATGAAATAATTATTCTGTTCAAGTTCAGCTCAGCCATTAATATTGATAGCAATCTTTTACATTTCTATTTAGAATATTTCCATTTTTTAACAAACATTACCTAATAATATCATTCACTTTAATCACCTATATTTCATATTGTCTTTAAACAAAAAACAAAACAATAGTTATTAACAGTAGTCAATAAAATTATTATTCTTATTCAAATTCATCCTGTCAACTGATATTAATTTCATTAAAAATCTTTCACATTTCTTTTCAATTATATACTTTTTAGATCATTGAGAGCCTTATTCTCTTATCCTCTTTGTTTCATTTAATTACTAACAAATATCCATTACATATCAATGCCAATTTTATCTGTCACTTTAATCATCTATCATATTTTCTAACTCTTCTATTTCTAATATAACAATGCTATCTCATGTACCCTTGCAGAATCCTGTTTAAGTTAAATTTTTAACCATTGTCTCTGTGTTTTTTAAATAGGTTTATACCTTTAATTCTTGTACATTTTTCCTGTTTCTCTATATCTTGTTTCTGTCCTTTATAGCTTCTTTTCCTTTCCATCTTCCCCCTCTTCTTCTCCCTCCCCTTTTTGTTCCCTTTTCTATCTGATTCTCCCTTCTGTGATCCTCCCTTCTGCTTCTTCCTAATGTTATAGTTACTTTTCAAATTACTCTTTTTTTTGGTTGTTGCTTCAAGTCTTAAGTTTTTAACTCCCTTTCCCCCCTTTCCCTTTTTTACCCTGCTTAAAGTTGCTTGGTCATTGAAGTTGGCTTCATCTTTGTCCCGCCCTTCTTGTTCTGCCAGCATTTCTTGTTGTTTTTCATAGTTCGAAATCTCAATTTCTAAAAATTGAAATACAAAGCTAAAAGATCCTCTTCCCTCTTGTGCTTCTTCTTTTTGTTCTTTAACTCTCATTTTTAGCTCTTCAAGGAGTGATGCCATTTTAAAGATTTTTAAACAACCCCCAATTGATTTTATTTCATTTCATTAGGATCCACCATCCAAAATTCCAGGAATCACCCAATAATCCAAAGCTGTTTTTTGCTTCTTTTCTCACTTTCTCTTTCCCAGGGGCTTTTTTATCTTGTAACAAAGTTTCAGCTACAATGTGTCCTTTACAAGTCTTGTTGAGATTCCACTATCAATTCTTTTTACTTCCACGTGGTCTCCATTTTTCTAGATTCCACCCTCTTCCCCCCCCCTTTACTTTCTTTTTGAAGTTTTTAAATTATCCAAGAGTCTTTATCCCTTTGACACTTTATTTTCAGCTAAAAATAGCCTGTTAATGTCAAAACGGATTAACATCAATTTCTTGTTTAGATCTCTTCTTAATGTTCAAAGCCAATTAAAGCTGTCAATGTGAGAGAAAGAAAAGCCAATTCTTTTCCTTTCTCTTTCTCCGCTTTAAAAATCTTTTTTAGGAATAGTTTTAGTCTTTGTACTTCAAGTTCCAGGTATCTTAAATAGACATTTTCTCTGTTCAACATGGTCAGTCAAACTTTTTCCTTTAAACTTCCTCCTGCACAATCTTGTCCGGTCGGGTTCTTCTTTGAGGTGGCCATTTCCGACCACCGCTGCAACCACCTTCAGGAAAGGGAGTAATGGCCAGCTGGAGAGGAGTAATGGCCAGCTGTGGCTCTCCTCAACCCTGCTGGCGGTCTCCCTCTTCTTCACCACCTCTATGGGGTGGCTTCAGCTCCGAATCCAGGTGGCTCAAGGTGCTCCAGTGGTGAGCATGGATCAAAACCACGCACGATCCCAGATTTTGAGCCCAAACCGGAAGTCGTGTCATTTTATATCTTAATCATTTCAATCACATCTTAAATCATGCATTTCAATCACATCTTAAATTTGGATTAACATTTTATAGACTTCCTTTCATATCCCTCCATACATAGGAATTATTCCATACTTCATAATATTCTGATACGTCTCGTTCTTTCCATTCTAATGTCATACTGTCTAGTTCAGTGCATTGAAAAATCTTGTCTATTATTGCTTCGTCATTTGGGATTTCTTTTGACTTCCAAGTTTGGGCAAGCAATGATCTTGCTGTTGTAATAACATGAATAATTAGGTATATATCTGCTTTACTAAAATTATCATGTATTATTCCAAATAGGAACATCTCTGGTGTAAAGTTAATTTTTATTCACTTAACATTTCTTCTAGCCATGTCCAGATTTTTTGCCAAAACTCTTGTATTTTCTTGCAAACATCTGATTTTTGATCACATGGCCATGTGGATGTTGCAACGGTCATCAGTGTGAAAAATGATCATCAGTCATTTTTTTCAGTGATGGTGTATTTTTGAATGGTCACTCAATGAACTGTGGTAAGTCGAGGACTACCTGTACAGAAAACTGTTATTTGTTTGTTTGTTTATTTATTAAATTTATATTGCTGCCTACTTGCACATGGTGACTCAAAGCAACTTATAGGACACAAAAACATAATATAAAAGCAATACAAATAATAAAAGAATAAAAGATGACAATAATAAAATAATAATCCCGCCCCCAGCCCGGTGACAACACACATTCATACTAGACATTTAATGGTCTTCGTCTTGCTCTGGGTTCTTCGCCAGGCCCACTGGCAGAACTACGTCTTCAGGGCCTTCTGAAAGAGTGATAGAGTGGGGGACATTCTAATTTCCAAAGGGAGGGAGCCACCACGGAGAAGGCCCTTGCATAGAAATTGATAATATCTAAATTAAGGACTTATCTAATCAATATATTTCCAAATATTATCCTGACCTGTCTCAGGAGAAAAAAAAAGAAACCCCTATGAGATGGATAAAATACTCATGTGAGTTTGCACGATGAGGATGGCTAAACCATTTTTTGACCATTTTTGTGGTTGAACTTCTGCTCAATCAATGTTGCCTTTTCTGAAATTCTTCTTGGAGTCATAAGGAGCAAATAAAAAGGCCTGGATAAAATCATCCAATTTAAAATCATGAACTTTGATGATTGGACTAGAATTTGAGGAAAACACTTCATAGCAGGTTTCTTCAGGCTGATCCCTTCCAGATATAATGGGATGATAACTTCCAGCCATGTTGGAATAGTTGCTATACAGTCCTTGATTCCTGGTTGGAAAATTTTCAAGCAGTTGATTTGAAGTAGAAATAGAATATTACAATGTAGACTTTATGGGTCAATGAAGAAATATAGTGTGGTGGCAAACCCATGCCATGCCTGCCTGGAGTGGCACACAGAGCCATTTCTCCAGACACATGAGCCATTGGCCATTGCTCTTCCAGGTTTCGGTGCACCAGCCAGCTGGTCTTCACGTGTGCGGGAGCACTGGAAACCGGAAGAGCTGCCATCCTTTATCAGTTTTCTATTAGTTGAGTATACTCTTGTTCAAAGGTCATTACTATATTTCAGAGTTGGTGAAGCTTTTCAGCACCAAGTGCTGAAATGGGAGCGCGTGTATGCGCACGGGTGCTGGAAACCAAAAGAGCAACTGCCTTTTAGTTTCCAGCACGTGGGGTGCATGCGTGCACTGGGAAGATGATCTTGTTCTGGAGCTCATGCCACCTCGTCTTCCAGTTTCTGGCACACATGTGCGTGCATAGACCAGCTGGCCAGTGCATATACATGAACTGGAAACTGGAAGATAATTTCTCTGATGCGCACATGCGCTCCCTCCGGATGACTGCTCTTCTGCTTTCTGGCATGCGTGCGCATGCACATGCTTCCATTTTGGCACTTGACGCTGAAAAGGTTCAACAACACTGAAATATAGTAATGTCCTTTGAACAAGAGTATACTCAACTAATAAAAAACTGATAAAGGAGGACCTTAAAATATTTTTTGCTATTCATTATCTAAACTGGAACAACTGAACTGCTATTTTTTCATAGGTGACCTTGGAAATAGGGAAAATCCAGAATTAATGTTTATTTAATTTCCCTAATATTGTCTTATATTCTGAATTTTTAGATAATTTCCTTTATAATCAATAGTGGGAGGGCTCCAGGCTTCTTGACTAAGATGTGCCTTGTTATCTTTATTTTATTTTAATAGAGTTGGTAGTTTGGTCAAAGGAAAAGTAGAAAGAACCAGCACAGTCTGCTAAATAGTTAAAGGTTTTGAAAGTTCATTTTGGTTAATAAATATAGTTACTCCTTGGCTTTACATAAAAAATATAATCCACATAAGCACATAATTGTGCTGTTCTAATTTTTACAATCAGAAAAATACTATGTTGGCTTGTTGGTATTCATTGAAATAAATAGGAAAGTCTTTGTAGAGATAAAATTTGGATTTAACTTGTTAGTGATATGATATAGCTGATTTATACATTTTAGAAATGTTTATTTGTTTCTTCTGTGCTTACTATTTCTTCCTCCTTTGCAAACTGTATAACATTTTTTATCTGAAAGTAATGTGATTGATATGTACATATTTATATGTCATAATTAATTCTAATTAATTGTATTTTCCCTTTCCTTTTTAATATTTATTTTTTCTCTAGGCTCTAGGAAATCATGAATTTGATAATGGTTTGAATGGATTATTGGATCCCCTCCTTAAAAATGTAAAATTTCCTATACTGAGTGCAAATATTAGACCAAAAGGGCCAATAGCAAGTAATATCTCAGGGTACATCCTTCCTTATAAAATAATAAATGTTGGTTCAGAAAAAGTGGGAATTATTGGCTATACCACAAAGGAGACACCTTTTCTTTCAAATCCAGGTATACATTTTTTCATGCTTATATATAGATAACTAGATGTACTAGTGATTGCATCATTCCCATCCTATTTTATTTCTTTTCTAACATGAAATTGGGATTGTACTGTCTTTCACAGAGAGAAAAAAGTTAACTGCCAACTAGGTGCTGAGTTTTATACAGAATATAAAACTGATATAGTTCCTGCTCTCTTATTTGACTATAACATGGATTGAGGTTAACAGAATTAGTGATTTACTGCAGATTGGGAAGAGGATACCTGCTGATGATAGGATGAAGTGAAGCAATTTTAGGAATGAAAAATTGTTGAAAGAAAGAGTTGGTCTGAAGACCAGAAGAGACCATGCAAGTTGAACCACAATTTTCAGAATATTTGTGGTTTGACTCTTTCTCAAAGGCTTTTTATATATTTATAAATCCCATATTTCATCATTTTAATAATTGTTATTCTAAGATTTTATGGCACACAAAAATATTCTTTAGTACAGTCCTCTTTGTACACTTATTCTCCTACATGATACCTTTCCCACGAGTTCAGCTAGGCATATATGAGATTGTATTAACATTAAAAGTAAAAATAATATGATGATGATGATATAATAAAAAAAATCTTACTTTTGTAAATATTCAGGAGAATATAGTCAGCTTAATGTCTATTCTGGCAAATTGATAGGGGCAATAATCTAATAAAAATTGGGCATATAAAGAAACAAGCCCTCCTAAAGAAAATCTGCATGGATTCCACAAACATAAAGACTGATTCACCAACCATTTAGAATTTATTGTTAGAGACATGGACATAGAACAGCTTACCCAATGATAGTTTATTTGGGGATTTTCAAAACAGTTTTGATAATTGCTCATCAAAGGCTAAGGGCATCAGAGTGAGGTAGGGTGAAAGATGTCTGTCCATCATTAGGAAAAGAAATATAAAAATTAAAAAACTGATATGGTCATGCACTAATACAAATATATGGTATCTTTGTACTGGGAAAAGTTGTACGGTTCTGGTTCCTAGACCTGAAAAATGATATAATAGGACAAAAAAATATAGAAGAGAGTTATGAAAGTAATTAAGGCCTTAAACACCTTCACTACAAGAAAAGGCTAGACTCTTTAGCTTGGAAAAAAACCACTATTGTAGGTAGTGATGTTTGAAGTGTATAAAAGTTACATGGCATGGGGAAAAGGATAGGGAGAGGTTTTTCTCCTTTTTCCAAACGCTAAGACCATGAACGATCAATCAAGCTGTTTTGAAGATTTATTATAACAAAAACCAGGCAGTTGTTTCCAAAGAAGACCATAAACCTCTGGAATTTATTACAATAGATACTAACTTGGATGGTTTAGAAGAGATTTGTGATGACCTAGGGCAGGGCACAAAGGCAACACAGTTAAATAAGCAAGAAGAGCCTTTTTAATTATCTCCAACTTTGCCCCAGTTATCTTTGTCCAGGTTATCTTTGTCTGGAGAAAACTCTGTCAGGAACAGCCTTTAAGTGGAGAAAATTCAGTCCGAAAAAAAGTACATACAAACTGTAACTAAAAGTCCAAACAAACCACGCTGCAAAAATTAACTTGATAGGGCAGGAGAAGGAATTGCGGACTTGAAAGTACAGCCAAACACACACAGTTGGGAAGATGCCAGGAACCCAGATAAACTTCCACGATGCTAGATATTCTCCTCAGAGCTGCTCAGAATCCAGTAGTGAGAGGTGCTTCAGTCTCTGCATTCATAGGCTGAGCTTGAATTGAGGAACGCTCCTCCTCCTCTACGTGACTCCTCCACAGCATTCCCCAGTTTTTGCTCAGCCTCGTGTGAGACAGGCAGTGCATTGACTAGCTCCTTGGCCAAATCAGGATTTTCTCTAATCACAGTAACAATTTCGTTCATTTGTCAGGTTGTATTTATTCTTTTTTCTTAGCCCTGCGCAACTGTTTAACTGGGACTTCCATCCACCCAGGGGAAGCGCGTTTGCACCCCCAGAGGGAGGCAAAGGGGAGGGCCAGTAGTGCCTTTGCACCACTTCCCATAGTCAAAATATCTTTACCCTGCCTTTTCTCCTGTGCCGCTTCATTCCGTTTCATTAGTTAGCGGCATGAATTACTTTTGCCTGAGTCATTTTGTTAATTCCCCCCCCCCCCGTGCCGAACGCCGCTCTAGCGTGGAAGGGCTAATCCTTCCCTTCCCTACCCCTCTCATCATTTAAAGCTTCGGCTTACCTTTTGGGAGGGAAATCCACCACTGAGACTGCAAAAATTAACTTGATAGGATCCCTCGCATTATTGGTGGCCGCCATTTTGGTAGCCTCCTCATGGCCGACCGCCATTTTGTTCTCCATATCATTGCTGTGAGAGTAAATCTGCTCGAGGATACAGGACCCGTAGGCCTGTTTCAGAGCTATTCAACCTCATTTAGCCATTTAGCACTGAGGTTGATTTCTTTACTTTAAGAATCGTTGGACTCATACCACAGCTTACTCAGCGGCGCAGCAGCAGCAGCACCCACCCAGTGCCGCCTGGTCAGGAAGGCTGCTGAAGGCCCTAGTTTTTGCTTTCTCACTGAGCCTTAGGCATTCAGATTTCGGCTGATTGGATTATCTGTTACTATTGGAGCAAGGATTTAATCGTGCATCGCAAAGACAACAATCTTATCACTTCTAGCAGAATATTACTGTGATACGACTCAATTTTTCATATATATCCATATATATGCATGGCACTCAGCTCTGTTCGGGTATTTTCCCACATCATTGTAGTTGTGCTTTTAAAGTTGTAGCAACATTTCGGTAGAATCTCATCTGCCATCATCAGGCTTCATCCATATATATATATAATGAAAAGTTTTTTTAAAACAAAAGAAAAAAAACAGGGGGACGTGAAATAATTATCAGGGCATCCGGTCTTACCACAGATCGGCCCCTGGATTTGCCAACCACCTCAACTTGATTCCTAATGTATTCTGCAGTATTCATATTACTCATTGAAATGGCAGATGGTAACACCTCCAGAGGACCTTCTTTGAAGGCAAAAGCCAAGACCCATCATTTGTGCAGGTAGGCTAAGGAAACCTCCAAAGCCTTCCAGAGGGATGCTTTAAGGTGCCACAAGGCCCTGGAAAAAGAGATTAGCAGATGCACTAAAGAGGCTCCTGCAGTGCCTCCAGTCCTCCCACCCTCTACTCCCTCTACCTCTGCTCACCCCCCCTCTAGATTTTTTCTCTTTATCCAGGTGCAGCTTGCCCTCCCAAGAACAACAGGCTCTGATTTCTGGAACACCAGCTAGAAGGGCCCCAACTCCATGGCCAGGTACACTTGCAGAGGGAGATCCCCCTTACAGAAAGGGAGGAGGAGGAGGAGGAAGGGGAACTGGACCAGATCAGGGAAGATGAGGAGTTTGATTTGGGGTCTATGCAGTACAGCGAACCCCTATCAGAGGCAGATCCATTAGAGGGCAAGTTGTCCGAGGACGAGGGTCTTACCCCCGATCAGCCCGCCTTCGTGGGCTTGTTCAAGCCACACTTATTTAAGTCCCTACTATTCAAGGCCAAGAAAATTTGGGGCCTAAACACGCAGTCACCCTCTGACCCCCCTCCTCCAGCCCTGGGGGGCCCAGATGACTCTATCTTTAAACAACCCGTGGTGGAGGTCAAGGTTATCCCAACTCCACCCATTTTTTCTGATCTGGTGATGAAACAGCTGGCCTCTACAGTGGTGCCTCCAACCCCGTCTGGCCATGATAAGAGATTTTTCAATTTGGACCCACAATTCTCTAAATTATTAAGTGCCCCTGAGGTTGAGGAGCCCATAGTGGGCCTAGCCTCCTTCTCGACCCTGAGTGACGCACTGGAGGCTCTGAAGCCAGAGGAGAAGCGGGCCGAGCTGGCCTTGTGCCAGGCTCACCAATTGGATGCCTGGGCCATCAGATTGGCTATGGCCGCGTCCTTTTTCACAAGGTCATCTATTTGATGGCTCCGTCAGCTCAAACAACATGTCTCTGCATCCAATGTCAGGGCACACCAGGACATCGCCAAGCTCACAGCCACAGCAGAGTTCTCTGCCGATGCCATATACCACTCTATCAAATTCTCCACAAGAGCAATCACATCACATGTTACAGCCCGCCGTTTGCTCTGGCTGAAACATTGCCAAGCAGACGTTAAAAACAAGGTCAAATTGGCTTCCGCTCCCATTGTGGGAAACAAACTATTTGGCCTGTCCCTAGACCCCTTACTGATGGAGACCCGCAATAAGAAAAAATTCCTCCCCTCCCTTACGCGGAGGTCAGAATCCAGAACCTCACAGCCCTTTCAGAGAGGGTCCTTTTGGCCCTTCTACCAGGCTCCCTTCTCCCCCAGGTACCAAAGACCCCCAGCCTTCACGTGGGGTCAACCCCAGGATCGTGCCTATTCAGGAGATAGGAACAGAAGGGGCAGTAATTACAAAAGGCCCTTTCGGGGAACAGGTAGCAGGCCTTTCCGGCATCCAAGATAGGCCACCATACTCCCTTCCCATTGGCGGGCGTCTTAAATTTTTCGCCAGCCAATGGGACTCCTCTACTTCTGACGCCTGGGTCAGGGACACCATTAGAGTTGGTCTTGCCCTTGAGTTCCAGTCCCCCCCCCCCCCGATTTCTTTATGTCATGCCCTCTTTTCAGAGACCGGACTAAACATGATCTAATGGATTCCGCTATCCAGCATCTCCTTAATATAAGAGCCATCCAACCTGTTCCGACCGCACAACGAGGGCGGGGTTTTTACTCTCACCTGTTCATAGTCCCAAAACATTCGGGGGGTGGTGGAGGGCAATACTGGATTTAAAACGACTCAACCGTTATCTGATATATCGCAAATTTAAAATGCACACATTGCAATCCATCCTCCTGGGAACCAGACAAGGGGACTAGCTCACATCCATAGACTTGACAGAGGCATATTTACATATCGCCATTCGGCCTTCCCATCACAAATTTCTAAGGTTCTGCTATAACAATCATCACTATC